TATATATATATATACATATTAGGGCTGGTAATTTAACGCGCTAATTAGGATTAATTAATTACAGTGAAAAATAACGCGTTAAAATTATTAACGCATTTGCCCTGCCCCAGACCCATGTGGGTCATCTGACATTTCATACAATTGATTGATGACAAATATCTCACTGCGTGATGGAGCCTAGAGAATGTAGTTAGAATATCCCTAAAATGCAATATATGGGGCAAAAATGCCCGTTTGAGTTTTTGTCTCATATTTACATCATATAGTTAAGCAATATCACATGAGCAATAGGCTAAGTGCAATATCACACGAGTGCAAATGTGATACTGATCTTATACAATAGTTCAGTAAGTAAGAAGTTAATATTGTGTTATTTTAGACACAATGTTGTCTGTTTTGCTCAAATTTGCCAACGAAAATATAAAGACAAAGCAGAACTGTTCATCTCCGAGCAACACACAGCGGCATTTAATTTCTTAATCCACGTTTTGAACGAATTGGGTGAACCATTTGGCGAGTTAAACCATAGGTGCGTTGGATTTGAAGCGGCGCTGCACAGACCGATCGGTGTATGACATCAAAGTCCCGCGAGAGCGATTCAAAAGCACGCATAGTCGTCTGCTCTCTAAAAGCTCTTGCGGTACTTTGATGTCACACACCGATCGATCTGATGGTGATCCTATAGACCAATTTCAGTGTTTGCAAACAGTGATGACTTTTTGTGGACGGAGTCTATCTGGTGGCAGAAAATGCCCGATTTAACGTTGCAGTCTATGCACGCCATGGAATAAAAGGTAAATTTTGAGTTTTTATTTAAAAATTCTGACATTTTTCTTGCAATTCCGAGATTATATCACAATTCTGATAAGAAAAAAAATCAACTCGTCATTCTCTCTTTTCCCCTCGGCTCAGAATCATGAGATTATATCCCACACTTCTGGCTTTTTTTCCTTCAGAATTGGCAAACTCGCAATTGTTGAGGTAGATCAAGTTATAAAATCCAAACTAGGAGATTTAAACTTGCATTTGCGAGAAAAAAAAAGTCAGAATTGTGAGATAAAATAAATAAATGTTATGTAAAAATGTTAATAGTAAGGTTTAAA